CACTGAAATAGAATAAGATGGTTATTAAGCACCAGGCTTTGAAAGCAGACTATCTCTACTCTGCTTCCTACCACATATATATATGATGACCCTCTGTCAAGTAAGTAACTTACCCTCTCTGCCCCGCTTTCCCATAGGATTGTGGTGAGAATTACATGTACCAATATATGTGAAGTGCTTAGAACAGTGCCTAACACACCATAAATGTCATCTACTTTAATTATACAATTATTTTTATGAAAGAAAGCATCTCAGCTTAGATAACTCATTATGAATCATAATATTGAAAATTCAATTTACTTTATCAGTGAGCTCAAACACTTAGAAAAGTTTGGCTTAATATCTTATTAAGCAGTCTCAGTGTTTATGCCATATCTACCCTATTCACAAGTCCAATATTTTCCAACTCTGACTCACTATTCGTTCCTCCCGACTCATCACATAGAAAGTCTGGAATATAATGGGCATACCAAAAGGCATTTCTTAATCTACCTGGATTTATAAGGTTTAAGTGGAACTTGTCCTATATAATGTTCAATAAATATGCTGAATAATTATGACTTAAATTGCATTCACTTAAAAATGCTTTCCATATATCAAATGTTCCTTCAAACTATAGAGGTGTTAAAACCCCATCTTGACAAAAACAAAACAAAACAAAACAAAAAAAACAACCAACATAATATTTAAGTAAAATCCAAGATCCACATTTTTTGACTGCTAGCAAAAACTAGATTTATATTTAGCTGATGGCCCGATAGTCAAAATTTTGCCAAGCATACTACAGAGGGTCAGAAGCAATCTCTGAGCCTACAAAACTGACCTTAATTCCTATTTAATTCCATACTTTCACTAGTTTCCCCATTCAGATGCTTCAATGATTTAAGGTAACCTCTAATAAAGTTATAGAAAAAAATTTAGGTAAATAAGCCAAATAACACAAGGCAGATTAATTCTTTAAAACTCCCCTTTCCCTAGATGCACACATACACAAAAAAACACAAAAACATTTAAAATATTGCTCTACCCACTTACTTTCTATGTGGTACTGTGTCATTTTAAACTCTGTAAGCCTCCATTTTCTCCTCTAGGAATGGGGATAAAAAGTGTAATTGTAACTACCATATGGGATTGCTGTGAGCATTGATTATCACATAGGGGGGAGGGGTGAAAAAAAAAGATATCACATAAAGTGCTACTATAGCCAACCCATAAAAACAGTTGAGTTTCAGTGTGTTAACTTTTCTATTTAAATCAATACCTCGTGTCACTTGAGTTCTACCTATTAAAAGACTGTATTTTCTATGGCAACCATCTCTATTAACCAATTCATGCAAACCTACTCAATGTCAATAGCTTCACAAGCACTCTTACAATAGGGGTGTATAACTCTCAGAAGCCTTTAACTATCCCCATCCTCGAGTTAGGTACCCTGCTCAGGAAATAGGCTGTACTTAACACTGCACTTACCATAACTGCCTGTATCACTTGAGGAGCCTTGTGGGCCAGGCCTCTGTCCTACTCATATCTATATCCCCAGACTGCAGCCCAATAGTTCTTAAACTTGACTCACATTAGAATCACATGGGGAGCTTATCAAACTATTATTGCCTGGGATCCATCCCGAGACCCACTAAATCATAAGAGGGTCAGGGAGAAAGAGGACAAGTAATGAGTATGGGTGAGTATTTTTTTTTAAGATACATGATATTAATGTGTTGCCACAGTTAAGAACCACTGCACTCTGCCATTTAAAATACTATACAAACAGGTATATATACATGTATGTGTGAATTATGTAGGTATAAATACAAGTCTTAGCTAAGGCCTTCATCCTCAATAGCCTCTCTCAGCCCAATCATCTCTTCCCTTTAAACACACAATATTGCTAATAAACAATTTGTTGTATGCTGCAGTGAGATGGTTTTTAGGCTGTTAACTCAGTATCTAAGTGTTTTCATGTAATTATTAATTATGCCTAGATTAGTCTTGCTCCTTATTCTTGTTTTCTCCACGGTACTTATCATAGTACCTTGAACACAAACATGTAATAAAACATTTGACTAATCTAACAAACATATACAAACATTACTGGAAGGCAGTATGTCACTTCCTAATTATCCAATTTGGGCTATTATCTACCCCCTGCCCCAAAATAGAAAAAAAAAAATGATTTAGAAAAAAACTTCAAAAAAATCCCTAACTTAGGAAATGAGATCTAAAGTTTATCTCACTAGTGAACATCTGTATATTTGCACTTTTTATTACAGTCATAACATGCAGTATTCACCCAGTATTTACCCTCATCCACCACTTTCAGTTTTTGACCTGTTCCTTCCTAAAACTATCTTCTAGTTCCTTTTGGTATCTTTAGCTACTGTCAGGTACTTTTACAACAATTTTATAATACTCTGTAATTAGTAAAATAAATTAATGAAAGTCACAATGAATGTGTTATACACGTTTAATACTTCTTGAAGGAACTTACTGTTTAAGGACCACTAAAATAAGCTCTTTGCATACAAAATTACTTGCTAATCTAATATAAACTTGGTTGGGAATATGGTCTGAAAATAAGAGTCTTAGTCAACATTATACATAATACAAGTCTATTTTTGAATAATGACAGATTGGTGATTTTTGCTTTCATAATAATTTCATACCTGAAGATTTTGTAAAATATGACTTTTTAAACAGGAGTGCTAAGTAGTATTACATGAGAAACTCCACAGCAGTTGGGATTCACAATGTTGAAACTACTAATAGGAATGAATGACACACAATTCTAAAAAAGCAACAACCTAAAGATATAAAAAATATCGAATGGTTTGAAGTTTTGAGTCATATGTTTTACCACTACTAAAATAATCTGGAAGACTTAAGTTGTTTTTAAACTGAAAATATGGAGAGGAGGCACTCAAGAAGTATGTTTAATTAGATACTGTGATAAAACATGACCATGTTTTGTTGGAGCCTACAGAATGAAACAGATAGAGCCATAGTAACCAAACACACAAAAAAGAGCAGTCCTCAATTCCTTGTTCAATAAAAAAAGTTTCAAATTCCACAGACAAAAAAATGGTACCCTGGGTTGTTTGTTTTTAAGGAAGATTAAATTTAGGAGTTGCCAACACCCAAACGAAAAGCATTCCAGAGTATTAGACTCAATTGTAGTGGGGAGCCATCTACATTCTCAGCACTGTTTCCTTACCCAAAGTAGGAATATTAACAAAGGATGTTTCTTAGGATCTCACAAGATGCACCACACTTATTTCTTCCAGTAAACACTACCCTTGTTAAAAAAACAAAAATAAAATGGTATTTGAGAAATAACAATTTTAGCACAAGCAGCCAAATAACGAAGTTTAACATCTGCCAAGATATTTCCCAAAATAAGACCACTGTCAGATGAACAATGAGGAAAAGATTGAAAATGACAAATTCTTTTACTTGGACCATCAGCTACTTTAAAAAATAAACTTGAGGAATGTAGATTTTCCAAAGCCTTGACTTCAATTTACCCTTAATCTTCATATTTTTAACTAAAAAAAAAAGAAACCCTAGAAATTTGATTACCACTCTTATGAATTCCTTTTAAAGCAATTTAATGAATAACAGATCTTTTGTGCAAGTAGCAAACCACAGAGGATAGTTTGGCTGGCTGATAAAAATCTCTCTGAAACACTCATATAAAAATATACCTTTCAAAGGCAAACTGATTTTCCAGGTATGGAAATTATATTAAGACTTAAAAATTTGGGTATGTTTGACATACACCCTAACTTATTACCAATGCTTTTTCTTGAGCCACTAAGTTAGTAAATTCTTAATTATTTACTTGGTGTCAAAGTTGAATAAATTGAAACCAGCAGTTTAAAAAAAAATGTAAAACGTAAGAAGCCAACGAGAAAAAGATGCAACTGTTTTGGGTGAAACAAGGTGAGCTACATTAAAGTAACCAAAACTTGCTTAGGATGATTTTGTTGAGGGTAGACAGTGGTGCAGTTACATACTAAGTAAAATGTTTCACCAATCACTCTAATAGGAAGATGCTGCTGCCTGCAAAAATGTTTTGAGGCTGCTCAAAAATACCAAAACAAAACAAATATCCAACCCTACCACAAATGTTTTCCAGAATACATAGAGCCAGATACTTAAACATGAGGAGAGCTCGTCTTAGTAAAAAGAATTGTGGGTTGCTACCGCGTTCCTATTGTCCAAAATAGCACTGGGGG